AAGATGGGAAAGAAACAACATTCAACCCTCAGTCACGATAGATGTCTTACATGTGGACAGGAAATGGAGACCCCACTTTTTCCAAAACATGAGAGAAGTGCCTGATGGAGGATTTCCGTGCCAGCTTCCCAGCGGATACGTGTGGGTACTGAAGGGACGTGCCCAGCTTCTTTCTGAACGGCTACACAGCCCAGTGCTGTGCTCCGGCACCCAGGGGAAGCCTGCTACATCTCCGCGGAAAATCCCTGCTGAACGGCATAGGTACCCAACCAGGGAGGACGACAGGAGTCACAGAATTTTCTAATAATATAAGGTATCTCTCCAGTGAACAGAACTTCTACTGGCCATAGAGGACAGAAGCTGACTCTACCCACTGGCTCTGAACGGCCAGGAGAGAAAGGTTATAAAAGGAAGCAGTAAATGATACTAAGAGAGTTTGTTTGGTGGCAGAAGGGACAGTCTCCCTAACAATGCTGCATCTCAAAGAAGTATTTTCCCGCCAGTGATGATAGCATCAGTGTACTGAGTGTAGAACTGAAGAATAAACAGCTCTGCCTGCTGTTTTGTTTTTATCCACCCTGCAAAGGGAAACGGGGCATTAGTGTTTCACATACCAGAAATTAGAATGTAGTTTTTAAAGTATTAGATCAAGAAGCTTAGTTTTGGCAGGAACTGAATTTAAAACTCTCTTTGGTTTACTTGAAGGTCAGTTTTATCCGAATGGATTGACAAACACAGTGTATGAACACCATCAGCTCCAGCCCTGTTCCCAGGCTTCTAATTATCTGGAATGTATTTCCTGGTTCTTGAGGGGACCGCGCCCTGTAAGTTTCCATGGCCCCTAGGTTAAAACAGGTTCCTGTAATAAAATCCTGTGGCTTCACAGTCCTCACCACACCACTTCACACTGAAGGACACAGCACTTTACCACCTCGATGAGAAAGCTGAGCCCTCCCTCAATGGGAGGCCGCTTCTCAATCCAGCGCATTAGCGAACATTAGACTGTGAGTGCCAAAATCAGAGTCCTTTTGCTTTTCTTAGCAGCAAATGGAAAAGAAAGCAATTTACAAAGTGTTGGAGTAAGTGATTTGATTGTCGCCTTCCTTATAAAAGCTGATTTCCTTCTTAAAGGAAGCGCCTACTTCTCGCTCCTGCTTTTCTTTCTCAAAGAAGCACGAGTGTCATGTTTCCAGAGAAAAGCATCATCACGCTAGCACACAGACGCGGCCAGGCCATCAAATACACTGAGGGGCCGCGACCAGAAGGTCACAGTGAGGGTATGGGCGCAGGACCGGAGGCTCTGCATTTCTACCCAGCTCTGGGAGGTGTTTAGGGCTCAGAGAAGTGAGGCACCCCTGCCAGGGAACCCCAAGACACCGGAGGCCACAAGAAGAATAAGGCATTCACACAAATGTGGCCAAGGCAAGCCCGGCACAGGAAGTACAGACGGTCAGAGACTCCGTCTCTCCTGTCACCGAAGTGCAGAGGGATGTGCTGACTGTATGATCCGAGCCAGGAGTCAGGATCTAGAAAAGGAGCCTGGAGTCAGCGTGGGAGCAGCCGCTCACGGCTGGCAGCGTTTGCCAGGAGCATGAGGAGGGCCTGGAATGTAAAAAGAACACACCAGAACGCGTGTTACCTTTAGTAATAGGTGCAGGTACTTGGTTTGCAAATGGATTCCATAGCACTGATGCACAGAATTTGGTTCTCAAGTAATTCTTTCCATTATGTTGGAAGCCTGGGGCATTCCAAGTCCATCCTCAGCTACTGCACACCAGGACTGGGTGGGTGCCCTGGGCAGACCCCGTGGGCACTGGCATTCACCATGTCGCCCGTGGGAGGGCCTCCCTTAACCCTGACTGCCCTAGGGCTTTCTCGGCTCTCAGCGTTGCTCACCTGCACTAAAGGAACCATGCAGTTAAGAGCTCCTTTCAGGTGCTAGGAACCTTCTCTCACCGTACAGTCACTCAGATGGGCTACCTTGTCCCCTCTGCCAAAACACAGAGACTAGGCTGAAGCCAAATGGCTCTTCCCCAGCTACAGGCAGTGAACTCCAGGCACGAGGAAGGCAGGATCCTGCCAAAGTCCCCGGCCACCAGTGGTAGAGTCCTGACTCAGCTCCAAGGTGGGCTCTTCCTCACGGCACCTCGCAGCACCCACACCTCGGGTGCTGGGTCATGAGGCCCAGGAACATCCACGTGTCACAGCTGGGCACTGGTGAGTGACCCCAGCTCCAGGAACTGCTCCCCAGACCAAAATGGGAGGAGTGCCCGCTCCCATCTGACCTGCCTGCAATGATGACCTTTGGGTGTCCAGGGCCAAAGGACCTCACCAGACATGTCTGATACAACGGACAAGGCCCGTGGTACCCCCTCAAACCCGCCAAAAGGTGCTAGTGTGCTGTCTTTGTGCCTATTCTGATCTCTCCACTCGACGGGTAAGTAAATACCAAGGTCACTGCGACTGTGACGAGTCCTGGCCTCCTGATGTGTCCCGGAGAAACAGGTGCTGTCAGTGGCTGCTGGGATCTGTTTGCAGAAAGATGCTCCTCCTCTTTGCCAAAATACACAGCAGTTCTCGCCTGCAACCCTGCTCCAACCCCCTGATGGCTCCTGCTGGAGCTGGCCAAGGGCCAGGGCTGAGCAGGTCTCCTGTATCCATTGGGAGCAGGATCTTCCTTCAAAACCTCCCTGTTGCTGGGCATGGTGGCGCACACTTGTAATCTCAGTACTCGGGGAGGCAAAAGCAGGAGGATCGCTGTGAGTCTGAGACCAGCCTAGGCTACAAAGTGAGTCCAAGGCCAGCCTGAACTGCACAGTGAAACACTGTCTCGGAAAGACAAAAAAAACATCTTTTTGCAAGGAAAGAGCTGGTGCTAAGCCGAGAAGCCAGTGGCTCAAGGGCTCCACCCTGAGGACGTCAGGGAAGGAGAACTCCCTCTGGATACACACATTGTCTTCAGGAGCAGGTGCCACTGAGGAAGCCAGGGTGGGGATGAGGCCAGCACCATGACGGGCTGCCGAGCAGAAGGTGACACGGCACAGTGCCTCTCCTGCCTGCCTTCCCCGTCCCAGAGATGGCAGGCGCCACACCTCTCGCCGGCCCTGGCTGGCTCTTTCTGGGCTCCAAGCAGGGTACCAGTATCTTGCAGGGGAGCTGGAGCCAGCGTGAGGCTTGGAAGCCTGAGAACCAGTGCAGCAGTCTGGCTCCACCAGGCTGAAGGACGCAGCCTGAGAACAAAGCAAACTGCATGGACTTTGTTTATTGTGCATTCACCCCACCACAGGACAGGCCCCTGGTTTCATCTCCAGCACCGTCACAGCGCCTAACACTTAGGAGATAATCAATAATCATGCGTGGAAGGACGGAAGAGAAACAGTATCTTCCTGCTGGGGCACTCCTATGGGTCACACACGCGCTGTGACTAGCGGTTTCCAGCTACTGGCTCATTCCGGTGACATGACAGCAGGCATCATGATGCAACGCCTATGACTGTCTCCCGCTCATCGGGTGAACGCTAAGCACCTACTGCATGGCACACAGGGCCGAAAAAGCGTACAGGGGACAGCCCTGCCCGGAAGGGGACCAGCCACAACTTTAGGTACTGTGAGCACACAGGAACTCGGGAGGCAGGGGCTGGGGAGACCTGGAAAGGGAACGGAGGTTCTCTGTCACACCCCTGCGGCAGAGACAAGCTTGGGTCCTTGGAAATCGGCAGGCGAACTTTTCTATGCATGGGAGAGGTTTCCATCATTCAGAGACACAAAGGCTGATCTCTTTAGATGTGCTGCAGCTGGCCAGTCTCCCGTAGGACAGGAGGGCAGCGTGAGTCCTCAGATGTCTTCAGTTCCACATCTAGAGACCCCAAGGGCCGGGAGAGGGGCCGGGGTGCAGCCCTGCGGCCTGGAATTTGCACAAATTAAAGCCAGCAACTACCTGTATGACCACCATGTAGGTTATCACTTTAATTTCTAGGTCACTCCTCTCTTAACTCGTGAGACAGGCGGCTTTAAAAGCTGTCAGAACTTTCAAAATCTGTCATACGGCACGGCCAGCAGAATGTGCCTCAGTCCCATCTGGACATGCCGAACTTAACATCGGGACATTGAATCATGTTTTAGTTTTCAAAGATTTAGTTCCCAGACATGATCGGCAAACACGTAGCAGCGGCTCTGCAGTTCCGACGTCCCCGGCCAGCCGGGGCCCCGCAGGTCACCCCCACCCGGCCCGGCCCGGAAGTGACGCGCAGGCCCCGCCCACATGCCCGGGGCAGGGCTGGAGACAAGGAGCGGGGCTCGGGGCCCCCTGAAACCCGCGGTCCCAGCAGCCGAGAGGGACGGAAAGGCGGTGGGGTTTAGAACCGCGGCGCCTCCACCGGGAGCCCTCGACCCTGCTGGCTGGCGGCCCTGGGCCAGACCTCG